GCTTAGTTGGGGACACTTAATTTCCAGCGATATCGTCGACTTGATTGCACAGATACTATTTAAACTGAACTGAGCTGGATGATGACATCACTGAATTCAATGATGAACTGCCTTTAACTGAAAATTGAGTGTTTACTATTGTCATCTTGCATTAATGACACACACTTTTCCTGATTAATGCTGTACGGTTGCTTTGACACAATCTGTATTGTTAAAAGCGCTATATAAATAAAGGTGACTTGACTTGACTTGACTAGTAGCACTAACTGCACCATGGTATTGTGTCAGAAATGTGGGTATTCTTGTCGAATATTATTAATGAAGACATTTATTAAATGTATTGAAGGAGGAGTAATGGAATAATTACAGTATTTTTTGTGATTAAGCTATAGCGTTTATGCATTTATAAATTAATTTAGACTACTGTTTTTCATAAATACCTACAAGCCATATTAAATTTGTACCATGGTATTGAGGTGCTATATTTGTGGTTTTAACTCATGATTTAAATGTATGCTACTATGGAAGACCAATGGTTAAAAAACTGTCAGAATAATTAAATTTTACCATAAAAAATGAGATTGCTACAATTTTTTACAGATATTACTGATTTTGATAATGAACATAAATCTACATCTGCATCCAAACTCAAGCTACTATCAAGTGTGTATTTCTAAGAGACAAACAAATGTTATATTATTAATATTATCAGGCAACACAAACTTGTTTCTTGATTTGAAACAATATTACTCTTTACTAGAACATGCAGAACTAAGAAATTATTATTTTTTCTATTAAGATATTTATTTTAAGGAAACATGACTGGAAAAGTGTAAAGAATCCAAAAACGAAGTGATTGTCATGTTCTGACTATAAAGAACAGTTTAAAACCACAATTAACCATCTGGTTTTCACAACTTTCACATTGGAGCAAAAATCTGCCTTTAAACTTGAAAGAAATAAACATTTTACAGTTATCGTGATAATTATCGATATCGACTAATATGGAAAAAAAAATATTGTGATCATTTTTTGGCCATATCGCCTAGCCCTACTTTACACCAAATGGAACCCAATTAAATAGCAAAAATAACTAATTCCAACAAAAAAACAATTTTTGTGTGATTCCAAACACGAAAACTCATACCCACTTTTTCATCTGTTTTCCGTTATTCAGAAAAACAAGTTGTCAGGTTGTCTCAAACTCTCATCACAGGCTAGGGTTACATGTCGGAGGAATATGTTGACATTTTTGACCACTCACAAATTTTTTAAGAGCACCGCAAGCCACACTTATTGCACTTTTCAGGAAGTCTGCCTATATACACTATGTTTGTGTTTTTTTTTTTCTTCCAGTGTAAAATCTTGGATGTTTATTACTTGTTTTATAAGTGAATCATCAATGATTGTTCAGAGACTCTTTAGTTGAATGCTTGATGTAGATAGGCCTGTGCTGGAAAAAAGGATGAATGAAATCTGTTCCTTTCATCTTTCGGTCCTTTATCTTTCTCTTTGTGCATTTAATATCTGTTGTCAGCATAAATAATAGACTGACATGCTGTTCATTGAGTTTATTTTGCTCTCAATGAGACAGGGCAAAAATAGTTTTTATTTGTACAGACAAATTGCAATGTATTTATTATTTTCCTAAACAAGACACTGTTAAGAAACACTCAGTGGTGGATGGCCCAAAGTTAGCCTCCTAACAACAATTGCTATGTTGAGACTTGGGTCATATTCTTGACTTATTGTATAATAATTCCAGTATGTAGTAACAGATCGCAGATGTGTATGTGGCTGGTTTGACAACCAATTACTGAATATTCTTGTCTTTTTCTAGTATATGAGCAACATGGACTCATGGTGTAAGGCCTGTGGAGAGGGAGAACTTCCTTCTGAGCTACAGGACCTGGAAGACACCATCCACCACCACCAGGGTCTCTATGAACACATAACCACTGCCTATTCTGAGGTACAAATCTCTTGTGTCCATTAAAGTAAAAACAATGCTCTGCAGTAAAAACTTTTTACTAGTGTTTGTGAATAGTTTCACCTTAAATACTAAATTCAGGATACCTCTAAGCTGAGCATGAACTAAAAAAAAATATTTAGTCATGACAACTCTTGGAATAGTTTTTCTTCAATATGATGATGCTAATGTAGTTGGTCTTGGCGGAATAGATCTGCTATGCACACCGCTGCTGCTGCAAGTCATATATGAATTTGCTATACACAGACATGTTGCTGTGAGCTTGTAAGATACGCTGCTGCTGCTGCTGCTGCTGCATGGGTAGACACATATAAATCCCATAGCAGATCTAGACAAGTGGAGCTGGGGGAGGTGGAGGGTTTCAGGGGAACTCTGATGGTGCGCTGCAGGACCAACTTACAGTGAACACTGAACCAGACTATTTAAATGGTGAGCAAGCAAGCTCATTGGCTGCAGAGCAGAGGCCAGTCACCTTGTGCTGTGTAGATGTGATTGCTAGCATATTGCATGTAAAGGAACATGTAGAGTTTCACGACTGAACTGGATTTTCAAATGAAGGTGGGATTTTTTTCTGCAAGTAACATCTTTGGGTGTTGTGTATTATCTGTACATCCTCAGGTAAGTCAGGATGGCAAAGCCCTACTAGATAAGCTACAACGTCCTTTGACCCCAGGGAGTGCAGATTCGCTGACATCCTCGGCTAACTACTCCAAGGCGGTGCACCATGTTCTGGATATCATTCATGAGGTTCTGCATCACCAGAGGCAGTTGGAGAACATCTGGCAACACCGCAAACTTCGTCTTCACCAACGGCTACAGCTCTGCGTCTTCCAACAGGATGTCCAGCAGGTCGGACACTTATCCTTAACTAAAAATACTTTATATACAAATTATTATAAACACTGTTTTTTACATCCCATGTGGATGTGGTTTCAATTTATTGCATTTATTCACTTGTTATTTGTGAAGTGTGAGATGTTCAGGGTGGATGAAGTGTCAGAACGTTGCAGGAGACATCTGTGTGGGACAGATTTTTTCATTTCATTCTCGCCCACTTCCCACAAGTTTCTTCTAGCACATGCCTATTTCCACAGAATTTTACTTTCTGATCGCAGTGATTTTGATCTGCCTGCTTTCACTTAATTTTGGTTCGATTTAGGACGTATTTTCTCCCATCAAGCTAAAGTAAATAATAATAAATATATATATTTTTAATTTTCATATATATATATATATATATATATATATATATATATAGTTGCATTGACTGCTGCTAAAATTTATCGGCAAAACACAAAATGATTAATGAGTTTGATTTATGAATATGCATATGACAGTGTGACACTAAAATGAGTCCTGCTCGTAAATGAGGTGAATCTGGTCGAATCTCTTCTCTTTGTCTGAATGAAATGGCAGCATCTGAATGCCTCTCAGGCATCGTTATGTTGAATATAAAGTGAGTTCTGTTTAAAATAGGATTTCACTGCTCAGTTAAGAACAAATATAAATTTAAAAGTGAGATTTTAGGCACCACTGCATTAAATTGTAAGCGTGCAATTGTTGACAGGAATGTTTTTTATTTTTAATTTTTTTATTTTTTGGATGAAATATTTGCATTTTTCTTTTTCAAGTAAAATTTTTTTAAAGGAGTAGTTAACCCAAAAAATAAAAATGCTGTCATCTTTTTCAAAACAACATCCAAACATGTCTCTTTCACTCTCTCTCACACACGGTCTGTCCCACACTATGTTCCTACTTTTTTTTTTTTTTACTTAGTATTTTTCCCTCAATATCAGTTGTCATGGTAACTGTGTTCAGCAGCCTCATTATGTTGAGGGTTTGCCCCATAAAATGATGCAGGCATTGGGGACCTCTAAACCTTCCAGACATCAGAAAACAGCCACGTGAGCAAGAGACTCAACATCTGTACAACAAATGATTGCTTCTATTCACACGCGCACACACATGTGCTGACAGATGCCACCACACAAACAGCTCTGAATGTTTCTGTGTGTGGCACATTCAGCCAGATCAAAGGTGGCATAATGAAATATGCATGAGTAGAGGACTCAATGTGTTTTCGCAGTGTGCTCCGGTGTCTTTTGAGGCAGGTAGAAAGCTTTCAAACTCGGATACGAGACATCTGGCTTAGCAGCTCCACCTTGCAGATTTCAAATGGTTAATCAAACATTTACTACTCACTTAATCAACCATTTCTAATACGTTTTTATTAGTAAAATATTGCATGTGTATTCAGATGTTCATGCAAACCTGTGAGAAACAGCTACTACTCTATTTGTTAAATTTCCATTAATAAACACAATTATTGTACTCCGACAACACCATCAGAGCAGACACCAGAGTCTTGCTTGCTTAATCTGCAGGATGACCTCATTGCGTGCTCAGTGCTGATGTTTATAGTGGTGTCGAGCTGTCGCAGTGACTCCTGCTGCTTGGAGTTGCCCCCTGGTGGTTTTACACTGGAATTGCAGTGGAACTCTTTTACATGAATCAGATAGATGCGTTTAGCCAAAGCATCATACAGTGCATTTAAAGTATACTTTTATTATTATTACTATTATTATTATATTGTTGTTTTTGTATGTTTTATAATATTGTGTATTCCCTGGAACCGAACCCATGATGTTTGTGTAGCTAGCACCATGCTCTACCAGTTACAGAAACCCTTATAAAACCCCTACAGTTAAAGGGGTCATATGATGCGATTTCAATTTTTCCTTTCTCTTTGGAGTTTTACAAGCTCTTGGTGCTTAAAGAAGATCTGTAAAGTTGCAAAGACTAAAGTCTCAAATCCAAAGAGATATTCTTTATAAAAGCTAAGAGTCAACCATGCCTACCTAAAACGGCTCGTTCTAACATGCCCCCACATGTCTACGTCACGATGTGGGAAGATTTGCATAACGCCCCCCAAATGTTCACGCAAAGAAAGAAGGCGTAACTTTTATTCTCGCTGTAGTAGTATTGTTGCTGCCGCCATGTCGTGAAGACGCTGTGTTTCGTTGTGAAAGTGAAACTACTTTGTTTGGCCTTCCAAAAGAGGACGATATCCGATTCGTCATTCCTAGAGCTGATCCGTGCTGGTCGCTTACATCAACTTCGCGCTGTCGATCGCCGGATCGGCTTTCACCGTGGACGAAGTGGAGTAGCTGGATAGCTGGCCAATCAGAGCACACCTCGCTTTTCAGACCGATGAGCTTTGTAAAAATCGATGCGTTTCAGAAAGGCGGGGCATAGAGGAGAAACAATAATGTACAGTATGTGGAAAATAATGTGTTTTTTGAACCTTGAACCACATAAACATATTTGATTATACCAAATACACAAAATAATGTTATTTTTAGCAACATCATATGACCCCTTTAAAAAAAAAAAAAAAAAAGCAAATTATTATCTTTTTTTTTTTCTCTTTACTCTGCTCTAAAATACTCATTCTGCTCGAAATTGACAGAACATTTACAGGGTTCCTACACTCATGGAAAACCTGGAAAAATCCCACTCCCACCGACAAGCAATTGAAAAAATGTGGAAATTGATTGGCAAAGTTCCAACAGTTGCATAAAACCTGAAGAAAAAAAAATCAGGACATTTAAAAACGATTTCCCAGGCTTTGAAAAGTTGAATATTTATAGAATGTATAGAATATATATATAGAATTAATATTTTCATCATACAGAAACTTCTCTTTGTGCCATGTTTATGTTTAATTTGGAAAAATCCTCATCCTATGAATATGAATTACCAAAAAAAATTAATAAATATTGGATGGAGGTGCGATGTTTAATTATTAAAAAAATATACACTGTAGTTACATTTTGCAGTACTAACAAACATGTTTAATTTTGTATATTATTACCTCGAAATATTTTTTTTAAAATATCTACATGTAGTGTCTCATTTATGATTACTTTTTATAATGTGGGTGATGGTTCTTTTGACCCTCTCAGCAACATTTGGTTATTTTTCTCTGTGAATGTGGTCTCACTCCCATTTAGAGTCAAAGTCCTCCCCCCAGTTGAGCACAAAAATAGTTTTTAAAGAATCTCCACATACGAAATGGACAAAAACCATAAAAGTATTCCATATGGAATGCGGGCTCTATTCCAATTATATGGACTACTTTTATGATTCTTTTATAGTTATTTGGTGGTTATTTTGACCCTCTGAGCATCGTTTGTTTATTTTCCTCTTTGTGAATATCTTCTCACACAGGTTCTAGATTGGATTGAAAACCATGGTGAGGCGTTCCTTAGTAAGCACACAGGAGTGGGGAAGTCTCTGCACCGGGCTCGAGCATTACAGAAACGTCATGAGGACTTTGAAGAAGTGGCTCAGGTAAGGAGAAATGGATGTTAGATCATCACTTTGGCTATTTTCCATCTGAATATCTACTGTTCTCCTCCCATAATCAAAACTTGGCCGGCCATCTCAGAAATGAGTCAAATGCATATTAACTTCCAAACTTCTGCATGTTTCTCAGAACACCTACACGAATGCAGACAAACTCCTGGAGGCGGCAGAGCAGCTGGCTCAGACAGGCGAGTGTGACCCTGAGGAGATCTACCAGGCCGCACACCAGCTGGAAGATCGTATCCAGGACTTCGTAAGACGCGTTGAAAAACGCAAAGTCCTGCTCGATATGTCTGTGGCCTTCCACACTCACAGCAAAGAGGTAAGTTATGAGAGAGTAATAGTGGGTGTGGATATGTCTGGGTTTGCTAGTGTTTACATGTGTTCTACTTGACATAAATGTGTTATCGAATATGATGTAACAGTTACACACACAGTCTATAATTTTTTTGGTCTTCACTTTAAGAGATGATGACATAATTATGAATATTATGTAAAGGTACAGTACACACACAATTTCTGAAAATGTACTTGGATTTATTATGGTTATTATTATTATTATTATTAATTAATTTATTAAAGTGCCCCTATTATGGGTTATGAAAGGTTCATATTATGGTTTTGGGAGTCCCCAACAACAAGTTGACATGCATGCAAGGTCAAAAAACACTTTCATTGTCTTATAATATGCATTTATTTTTACCTTACTTGCTCAACGACTCCCAAACGATTCGTTTAACGATTCATTTTTCCAAACCCCTCCTTTGCATGACGCTAAGCTGCAGTGATTTGTCCGATTGGTGCCTGTAATGCCTGATAAAGCAGCGTTGTGAGCGCAGTGCTGCTTTGTGTACAGCGTTACCGGTGAAAACAGTATTTTTACTGCTCCAAAAGCGGCACCTAGTGGCAAAGAACGAATTAGCATTTTCATTCAGACCAACGAGAAAGACCAATAAGTGGGCGGGCAATATGCTAATATTTCATATTGACTTCAACATGAAACGGCTTGGGATTCGTTTTAAAAACGACTAGTTTCAATGATTCAGAGTCGACTCTTTCTTTTGAGAGACAATAACTTTATACACGGTGCGCATTCAGATTTAAAACTTTGCAGGATGCCTTCATTCACTGTGTTACACACTGCATGAACGGTAATTTTCAAAAATCCATAATAGGGGCACTTTAATAGATTTACAATATAGCAGTAGCTGGTTCCCAGTGTTCCATTGATTCTGCACCATTTTGTTGAGTGTGCGGTAACATTTCTCTGTAGGTCTTGCACAACACATTTTTACTAGTCAGCTAGTCAATGAATCACTGTTTATATTATGTAAATGACATTCCTATAAGTTCTGCAGCTTTGGCACTTTTTTGATGCATGGACGCAAGTGATGCATCATTTTCACGTAATTCCAATTAGAGGTTATAATACAAAGTTAATGTTTATACAATAATTTGCTCTAAAGCCAACCTAGTGGTTAGCTTTTTTTGGACATCAAATCTTTACAATTTGTCTGCTTATAAATTCAGAACTCTTTCCTTCTGGCCCATCTATATTCCACAAACGGTGAATGATAATGAGTAGTGTGTACATGATTCATCATATACTTAATACAAGCAAACAACGCTCTCTTTAACGTCTCCATATGGCATAATGTTAGCCATCTGCTATCTGTTGCGGGTTGGCTTATATAGACATCTTTGTTTCTGAGAGTTTTATAATGGTATAAGTAATGATAAAGGGTTAAAGGCTGGAGTTTTGGAAAAAGAGGAAGGTGGAGATGGAAAAAGACAATGGGGAGGTGTGGAAGGACAGGGCATGGCCTGCTGTGGCAGGAGATACACTCTTTGACATGCCAACACAGGCAGATGGCTAATCCTGAGCTCTCACAAGATAAAGCCATTCACAGGAAATAACAACACCAGCCATTCGGTGGCAGGCAACGTACGTCTGGCTGTTTGTCTTTTAAATTATAGAACAAATGTTATTTGTTTGGAGACCCATGGATCTACATAGTTCACTGACTGGTTCACACCATTGTGAAGTTTCTGATTGGCTGGTAATGCTGTTATTCCTCTGCAGCTGTGGACGTGGTTGGAGGAGCTTCAGAAGGAGTTGCTGGATGATGTTTATGCTGAGTCAGTGGAGGCCGTGCAGGAGCTGATCAAACGTTTCGGTCAGCAGCAGCAAACCACCCTGCAAGTCACCGTCAACGTCATTAAAGAAGGGGAGGATCTCATCCAGCAGCTCAGGTACTGCCCAATGAGAAAACATCGGCTTAGTATCCCATTGACGTCTGTTGTATTAATTACAATTGCTAAAGCCTAACCCTACAGACACTTTTTGCACTTTTTTTAAATATTTTTTTAGTAATTTTATGAAACTAGTGGCTTTATGGCGACCGAAAACCATTCCGTTCTATATCTACAGTTGTATATCTTCAATCACTGTTGATATTGCAATGTTTCATGTGGAGTTTTTCTATTTAAACCAAGTCAAGTCAATTTTATGTGTAAAGCACTTTCACAATACACATTTCAATGTCAATTCACATTTCAGCTGCTTTACCAAAAATTATGATGTTAATGTTTATAATATCATTATATCTTAATGCCTTATAATCGCATTTTGCAGATATGCAGATAATATGATTAAATGATATAAACAATCAAGCAGTTGAGATTTGCTACAGTATATAGTATATATTTCTTTGTGTGAGTATACTCTATGTATGCAAATAAAATTAACTTGTCTGTCCAACTTCATTTATAGGGCTGTGCGATAATAATCTACATTTTTTAAACAGTCGAGCAGTCGACATTTCCATTTCCATTTCCCAATCCCCCAGCAAATGTAGAATATAGATTGATCACATCCAAATTGTATACACACATGCGCACATAGACTTGGTTAAAAACAAGTTAGACTTCTGTCTTTACAAACACATATGTTAAAAAGATATGAGAACACAGAGCTGCAACAACATACCCCGAATACACAGTAACACACTCATACACTTAACTGACCCATGTCCTAATTTGCAGAGACTAACTAGATACTAACTCGTACACACTCTTTTTTTTCTGACTGCAGAGACTCTGCGATCTCCAGCAATAAGACTCCTCATAACAGCTCAATGGCTCACATCGAGAGTGTCCTCCAGCAGCTGGATGAGGCCCAGGCTCAGATGGAGGAACTGTTTCAGGAACGGAAGATCAAACTAGAGCTCTTTCTCCAGCTCAGGATCTTTGAACGAGATGCCATTGATGTGAGTCCACAATTTATGACATGTCTGACAGTTTATTCCTAAATGATAACCCACTGATTTTGTTGTAAACAATGGATTCTAACACTCAAGACAAGTGGTTCTCGATTGTGTTAGGAAGTCGGGGCTTTTTTTTAATCATCATTCTTGGGCCCTTTCAGATGACTTGAGTCTAAATTAATAGTTGAAGCTCATATCAAAATTAGCTGATCAGCATTCCAAATGCTGAATTATATTAATAGGGAAAAAAATATGGTATACATTTAGATTTAATATAAACATAATAATAATAATTATAATAAGTTACATTTATATAGCGCTTTTCTGGGTACTCAAAGCGCTTTACATGAAAGCAGGAGAATCTCCTCAACCACCACCAGTGTGCAGCATCCACCTGGATACTGGGGCGTTAGGACCCACACAGACTGCAGGGTGAGCACCTCCTGCTGGCCTCACTGACACCTCTTCCAGCAGCAACCTAGTTTTCTCAGGAGGTCTCCCATCCAGGTACTGACCAGGCTCAGCCCTGCTTAGCTTCAGTGGGCAACCAGTCTTGTGGCGCTTTTCCACTGCGTGGTACGGCTCAGTACGGTACGGTACGGCTCGGCACGGTTTGCGTTTCCACTGCAGTTCAGTACCGCTTTAGAGTGGGCGGGATTATTCACGTCGTTATAGTTGCGCCGCCTCTACTACCACGACTCCTAAAAAAAACTTTTTCATTCCGCGTCGCCCCATCAAGCTCTCGCTGGATCCGCGCCTCTGCTATCAACGAGAGGAACGTCTGTACTTCCGCCAACAGACAACAAAACTTTTTGGTTGTTAAAAAATAGGTGCGCTCGTTCAAAACAGTTGCGTTCGATCCTTCGCTGACTTTTGTGTTTGTGTCGCAAGTTCAGTGACGCAGGTAGTGACGATTCTCTCCGGCCAATCAGTGATCAGCAGAGTTTACACGTCACGTTTTGGTAACGGTACGGTTCACTTGGAACACACGTCACGTTTTGGTAACGGTATGGTTCGCTTGGAACCCCAACCGAGGTGGTACTAAAAAAAGTACCAGGTACCAGGTACTGTACCCAGTGGAAAACCCCCCAAAACCCCCAATGGCTTACAGCCATACCGTGCCGTACCATGCAGTGGAAAAGCGCCATTGGGCTACAGGGTGACATGGCTGCTGGTTTTTTTTTGTGTACATGGGTGTAATATTTAGCTAGCTAAAATGGCAAATAAAATAAATAAATAGTAATAATAATTATGAAGGTGAGCAGAGGATTTTAAAATAGTGTCAGTTAAGTTACTAGATAGACTAAATTGTAACGAGACTGTTGCTATGAGAACACACACTGATAGAGATGCCTTCCCACTGGCTGCATGTACAGTATTCTGGCTGCATTCACGAAAGTTAACATTTTGCAATCACAGTTCCACATTTATATATGCAACTCATACAGCTTTCTATTTTTGTGCAATTCATAGAAGTGATATTTTCAAACCAAAATAGTTGTTTTTCTAATTAGCCTGTGTTGTGTTTAATCATTTTGCATGCTGCTCAGCCAGTGCAGTTCATGATTATATTAACAAATTTCAATATTTGATTTTAGAAACCTATTTGTTTGTAAATTACAATCTTGCTCTCAGATATATATTTTTTTCTCATAGCCATCAGGCAGTCCCCCATGATTGCATGAGTTTGAAGTTTCAGTTATGCGTCAGTTGTGAGGTAGAATGCTATACCACGTGTTGTTGCTTCTATCTTTCTCGTCGGTTTTGATCTGATCAATGGAACAAAGTGCTAAAGACAAAATCCATTGATCTCAGAGATTCTGAGCGGAAGCCTTGAGCAAGCATAAAGCCATCATGGATGCTCTTTTCACAGCCTGCACTATGAGTCATTGTGGATTGTGTCTCTGGACGTGTGAAAATGACTCACACTTTTGTCAAAACAGCTTTATCGAATCAATATCACTTTCAAGGTTTCTCTGTATCAAAGCTCTTACAGTCAACATGAAACAACCTATTTAATTTTTTTGTAATGTCACCAAAGGCTCAAGGTTTGCCACCTTTGCAGTATGTGAAATTTCATCCTTGCTAGATATTGCACGGTCAACTGTAAGTGGTATTATAGGAATGTAGAAGCATTTAGGAACAGCAGAAACTCATGCACGAAACGGAAGACCATGTAAAGTCACAGAGTGGGTGCACCGAGTCACCAACACTCTACCAATTCCATAGCTGAAGAGTTCCACACTTCCACTGGCATTAATATCAGCACAAAAACTGTGTGGCAAAACCTTCATGAAATGGATTTCCATGGCCGACTACATGTCCATGGCTACATGCAAGCCTCACATCACCAAGTACAATGCCAAGCGTCAGATAGAGTGGTGTAAAGAACGCCACCGCTGGACTCTGGAGTGGTGGAAATGTGTTCTGTGGAGTGACGAATCACACTTCTCTGTTTGGGAGTCTGATTGGTGAGTCTGCATTTGGCGGATGCCAGGAGAACATTACCTGCATGACTGCATTATGCATGAGGGATAATGGTATGGGACTTTTCTTCAGGGGTTGGGCTAGGCCCCTTGCTTCCAGTGAAGGAAAATCTTAATGCTTTAGAATACCAAAACATTTTGGACAATGCTATGTTTGTGAGATTGTGGCAACGCTTTGGGGAAGGCCTGTTTTTATTCCGGCATGACCATGTCCCAGTGCACAAAGCAAGGTATATAAAGACATACTGTAGTTAGTAGAGCTGGGTAAAAAAATATCGATATCTCGATTATAATCGATTCTCATTTTAATTAAACAATATCGATTCTTAAATCCCAAGAATCGATTAGTCTAGCCTGTTTTCAGTTAATGGATGGAACATTGAAGGGCACCTCCCATTCAATAAATCACAGTAAGCATTGTGCTTTGGTACTTTTAATATGAAACAAAGCCTCAGATTTCAAATTATGTTCATTGTATTGCAGTATTCAAACAATAAATGCCATTTTGACGCTATTTAATGTGGAGTGATCGCTGTAGCGCGGTGCGCCTCGGTTCAATAAAAGCAGTAGCGCGAGGCGCACGTGAACTGATCATCTCCTCCACATTAATACCAATTTCAGCACAAAATAAACATGACTAAACATCCGAAGGTAAGTTAAAAGAAAGAGTACAAGTTTACAATCCATATCCTGGCTCATGTATTCGCTCAATCAGTGTTTCAGCCGCGCAAAGACGTCAATATAAACGGCTTGTAAACAATATCACGTAACGTCACATTTACCTCAGAAAAAAAACGTATTCGGTGCCCATAACCTCATTAGTCAGCTAGAAAAATAAACTGTAGAGAGGAGCATTTTGCTAAATATATGCACCATATAATATATTCATTATAAATTTTACTGTTCTTCAATGTTTAATTTATATTTTTTTATGACAGTCATCATTTAAATGTTTATATTTAAAAAAACGAATTGAAGTAGAAATATTATTATGTAATTGTAACTTTTATTATAAAAACTTCAAGTGTAATTTAAGCAGTTGTATGACATAGCCTAAAAATCAGTCAGTTTTAACCTTCAATATTATAGTAATGTAGTACCAACTGACTCTCATGTATATTTTACAGCATTAGTTAAGAGATTTTTTTTTTCCTTGAGAAAATTTTGCATGTGTACCAGATATATATCCAAAATAATCGATATTGAATCGAATCGAATCGAATCGCAAGCTTGTGAATGAGAATCAAATCGAATCGTGAAATTTGTGTCAAAACCCAGCCCTAGTAGTTAGATAAGTTTGGTTTGGAAGAACTTGACTTCCCCACACAGAGCCCTGACCTCAACCCCATCGAACACCTATGAGATACATTTGAACGGAGATGGCGAACCAGGCCTTCTTGTTCAGCATCAGTGCTTGACATCACAAATACTCTGCTGGATAAATGGGCAACAATTCCAACAAAAGCACTCCAAAAACCCTCCCAGAAGAGTGGAAGCTGTTATAGCTGCAATGGAGGGACCAACTCCATATTAATGTCTATTAATTTAGAAATGCAACAGCAATAAAGTCCTTTTTGGTGTAATGGTCAGGTGTCCTGGCCTAGATGATGTCACCAAAAATAGAAGTTGTTGAGCAAAGTGGAACAAAGTTATTACAATGTGATGAATGGTTACAAAAGACAAAAAAAAACTAAAAAAAACTTTCTTCTGTGGAATAACATGCACTGAACAGTAGAGGTCAACCGATACTGATAGTTAGGATGGACCACACTGGTTGCTAACGATTAATCAACCGATAGTTTTTCAAATGGATACTGAACGAAAACTAAAATAGTGCTTTACTATTTAACCAGAAAAAAGACTCAAACATACTTTTGTCACAGCTACGCTGTATTAAACCCACAAAGATGAAGAAGAAGGTTTATAAAGTCTTTAATCCAACTCACAGGTAATCCAACACACAGGGTAGTATAAACGCAGACGTGTCCAGACAAACTAGAACTGAACACACAGGAACTTGAATACACAGACCAAACAAGGATAATTAGCTACATACACCTGAACAGAATGACACAATTACAGTCAAACCAAAATTTATTCAGACACCTTCAACATTTCACACATTATCACAGTTTTTTCGCTGTAGTTTAGAAAATGGTAATAAAATATGACAAGAGTTAAACTGTGTCAGAACAAATTCATCTTGATAATGTCAGATAACACTTAAGCAAAACAGGGTAAGGTCAAAGTGTCTGAATAATTTTTGGTCCCAAATTTTTATCAATTTTACTGGTAGTCCACTGTATGAGGAATGTTGGGGTATAATATGTCACAGGTTGCTTTATTTTGCTTTCCTTACTTACATAAATTAACTATAGTGTTCTGCACCCACTAATAAAAAAAAAAATTATAATAATATCTGGTCTCTGAATAATTTTTGGTTTGACTGTAACTCAATTAAATATATGAGGAAAACAAAGTCCAAAATGAATGACGTGACAACTTTGTAAATGAATAAAAATATTAATATCAATTACTAATTATATATTGAAAATTACATTTAGTTCATAAACTAATGTTAACAGAAGCAACTTTAAATTTGAAAAATATATTAGTAAATGTTGAAATTAACACACTTTAACAAGGAACAATACTTCAGCTTGAAGTTTTGTTTCAAATGCACTCTTATTGTAAAGTGTTAACATCAAAACTGATCAATTGGTTGACCTCTACTGAACAGTCGTGTACAAGAAGTTCAGAAACATAATACAGTAGTTATAGACAGTTTCATGTTGACGTTAAATGAGATGCCCTTCTTCTGCTCATCTGCCATTATTAGCTTGACCTGCAGAAAGCCCATCATGCTTTGCGATTGACTTTTTGGTGGCTGTGTTTTAAATGTTTTGTTTGTAGGAAACCGTATATGAAGTAATCAGAGTCCACAAAAACGAGCTGGCTTTTGTAGTAAAAGTGATACCGATCTCTGTAACATAATCCAATACAGATCTAGGAGTATCACATTCCATGGGGAGTTTTGAAGGCGCTCACATTCCACTGATACTTTGCTGGTAGAAAAGGTAAAACTAAGACCTTGCATAGACAGAGCAAACCTGAAAGAACAACCTGAAAACCGTACACAGGCATATACACATGTATAACTTCCAGTATGGGTGACGATTGTAGGTGAACTCCTTACATCGGATGTGAGGTATTTGTGAGTAGTTACTCAGCGCAGGGCGGGTCGGCACTGTCAGTCAAGGCGGCTGGGTGCCAGAAGGTACAGCAGTGGGCGTGGGATTTCCCAAACGCTGCTCCCACACACTGAAGAACACATTTACTTCTTACAGAAAACGCTTGGGTTCCCGTTCTAGTCATCACCAACTGTCCTTATCAGCGCTTCACTCAGAAAAGCTGGGGAAATGCTCATATTCATTAGAGAAGGAGGAATTGTCAACCACACAGCAGTGCAAAGTGAGTGCTTTAGGCTTTTGACGGGAGGATTATTTGTTCAAATCATGACTTTAAACTTTACCAATCGCTATATCAAAGACAATGTCATGTTTTTAAAACTACAGCACTGTTTGTTGTCTTCTGTAGTGTTATTGAGGAATAATTTATTGAGCTGCTGTGTAAAGTTTTGATTAGATGCTCTATGTGGTGTGATGTTAGAACTGGCTGAAGTGAACTTCTTGCAAAGTGCTTGTTCTCTGATTCATGTTTTTCCTTCTTTTACTCCGTATTAAGTTGTTTACTTTCTCTTTACATTAATTCTGTGAATATAAATTTCCAATAGTCTACTAGTATGTGTTTTTAATGGCTAATGGTGATACCTAGAGAGCAGACTGGCCAAAGTTAATGATGACAGTTGAGACAAAAAAAAAAAAGTTAAAAATCAAACACTCACTTTATTTTTTATTTATTTATTTTATTAGTATTGTTTATTTTTTTATTTAGTTTTTTTACACAAAACTAAACAAACATTGCCTTAATAGAAAATGTGGTAACACTTTAGTATAGGGTCCAATTCCCACTATTAACTAGTTGCTTATTAGCATGCCTATTATTAACATATTGGCTGTTTATTACCCCATACCTAAACTTAACAATACCTTACTAACTATTAATAAGCAGCAAAGTAGGAGTTTATTGAGGCAAAAGTTGTAGTTAATGGTTTGTTAATAGCGAAAATTGGACTTTAAAATAAAGTGCAACCGAAAATGTTTATTATTTGTTGACAAGACTGTCATTGCATTTGGATTGGAGATAATAAATAATACCAGTAATGTTGGCGGACATTGGTATTTCAGTCAATTTTAATTTAAGTTTGACTTGAAAGTGCTTTTATATATGCATTAGTGACCTTGTGAAGACTATTTACACACAAAAAAAAAAAGATTACAATTTATTTTATTAGTCCACTTTTGACTTTCTACTAACTATAAGTAACTGCAACTACATGTCAATTAACTCTTAGTACTTTGCAACTACCTGCCAACTAACTCTCATTAGAGTATTAGTAGACTTATATTAGGGTTAGTAGAATAAGTTGACATGTACTCGCAGAGTTACTTATAGTCAGTAGAATGTTTTGGGGGGAGCAACAAAATTAAGTGTTAGTAGATATTAAGCAGACAGTCTACTAATACTCTAATGACTGCTATAATACATATTACTAATACTGCTATAATAAAATATTTTATATATATTTTTTAAAGTATTAAATTAACTACTGTATCCAATATTTGCATTTTCAGACTAATAACATCAATTTAAAAACCTGTTCACTCATTTACTGTAGATATGGTCAGTGATACATGCCTTCTTATGGTGTTGTTTGTGTGGCTGTGTTGTGTAGGTCATCTCAGACCTGGAGTCATGGAATGAGGAGCTGTCACAGCAGATGAATGAGTTTGACACTGAGGATCTGACGCTAGCTGAGCAGAGACTGCAGCATCATGCCGATAAAGCTCTCACCATGAACAACCTCACCTTCCACGTCATACACCAGGGACAGGAACTCCTGCAGTACGTCACAGAAGTTCAGGACTCAGGTGAGCACAGATTCAAACACTTATATACAATGATAAGAGCTTCTGCTAAAAGTCACTGTATTGAAATTTAAAGCTGTACATGCACTAACAAAAAAGTACCAGAATGTATCAATATACAGAGTTCTGGCATGAAACTCTAGATGGCGCAGTCCGATAAGTCTGACTCAATCTGACCTAATGACATCATCACATGGCACAGCTGATTGGTTCTCTCCTGTATCGGTAGCCAATGAGCTCGCTGCTCAACATTCAAATATATGACTAGTGTTTGCTGTAGCAGTTGCAGCTTGCTTCAGAAACCCTCCACCTTCCCCAGCTCCACCTGTATAGATATGCTACGAGGTGATTCATGTATGCTATATGGGGGTTATTTCATGTATGTTATATTTGCAGCAGCAATATTTCTTACATGCTTACAGCAGCATGTTGTGGATGTATTGGCAGTAGCAAGTCTCGGTACTTGCTCTGCCGCAGCAGCAGCAGCAGATCTATTCCGCCAAGACCAAATACATTTACATTGTCATGTACATTACCATGCCAATCCCTCCGAGAGTTGTCATGACAGAAATATTTGTACGTTTTGGCAGAGTTCAATGGTATTTATTTATTTATTTAAAACATAGTAATATCTTAGTTTATTTGGGCATACATGTATGTAGTACTATGGTATTTTCTGAAATGCCTTGTTCTACCATAAATTCTGTGCTACATTAATATGGTAATAAATGATATATATTAAATGTGTATATGGTATGCAGTCAGAAGCAGGTTCATTATCGTTATCTAAAAATATTAAAAACATTTTTGTTAATTGAAATACAGCTGAAAAAAAAAGAAATTAAATAAAAAGAAATTAAAGCTAAATATTAATATTTAAAATTAAATTGAAAAATAAATAAAAATGAAAAACCACGTAACAAAATTACTAAAAAATTGTCAATAGTTTAGATATATGAAGTACATCTAACGTAGAAGTGTTCTATTGGTCAATGCAACGAACTTGCATGACCAACTGAGCCCATCACAAAATTTGCATGGGGAATTTTTTTTTTACCCTCACATGAAATTCCCGATTGCTTGGATTCCTATTAAAATGACTGGATTTTGCTGCCGAAAGTTCACAGAGCACAGTGAATGTAACTGCACTTTGATAGTGTCAATGTTTTGTAGTACCGCCACAGTACTTTTTTGTAAGGGTGCACTCACAAAAGTCCACTTGCAGTAGTTACAGTTTGTCAGGTGACTGTGTATTCTATCCAACATGCACACACAAGCAGTATGTCACTAAATCAAGATATCTGATCCATAACACGTGTAAATGTTTTCTTGTGAGCTGATAATGCATTTCAGATCTGTGCACAAGCTGCAGAGAAACAGAATGCATGTTTTTGTATGATGTTTTTGAAAGCCAACTTTTGGGGTCACGAGATCACTGTCATGAGGCATCAAAGATGTGTGTGTGTTTGTGTGTGCACGTGTGTGTTAGTGTGTCAGTCCAGAGCAGGCTTAAGGGGGGAGGAGTGGATGCAGCTAAACGCTAAACTCTAAAGCCAAACACATCAGGTCCATCCAGGCACCCAGCAGCCCTCCCTTCCTCCCACCTGGCCCTGTAATCCTGTAGACTCACTCTGCCTAGCAAAATCACTGGTCACACACACACACACACACACACAAGATTTGACATCTGACAGCACACACAGATAGCAGAGAGCAAAACGAGTCCTCATTTTACTAGCGTCCTTTTGTGGAGGCACAGATACAAACGCAAAACTGGAGTACTCTCAGAGCTTTAGCCCAATGCAGCTCTGGGCTACGGGTATAAAATGTGAGCATGTCTGTGTGTGTGATAACATGTGTGTGCTAACAATGCTAAGACCCAGGTATCTGCACTTCTGTACATGCTATTTGTGTTAACTATGTAAAACTATATAACTATGGGTCAGTTATCAATTTTTATTGTTGGTTTAGTTTTTCTTGATTTAAACAAAAGTCATGCTACTTCTGGCGATGCTGACTTTAAAGACAGTATGAAATCAAAATTGATCCCATTTACTTTCTGCATGCATATTGCAGGTTGCATTGTGCACGATTCATCAGTGCACATTATTCTAAAGAAAATGTAGTTTAGGGACCGATTCTCACTAGTTGCTTGTTAGCATGCATAGTATTAGGATATTGGCTATTTATTAGTACTTATAAAGCACATATTAATGCCTCATTCTGCATTATCATATTTTAGATCCCTTAATCCTACCCCATACCTAAACTTAAAGGTCATAAGATTTCGGAGAGGCTAGCAATAGCAAGTTAGCTTTGAAAGCAAGATCCCACCCTCCCTGCAAATGAGAGGACAGCACTGGTGGAGGGTTGAATGCAATGCTGTCAGATTACCTCATATTTCTTTCACTGGTGAGAAATCATTACAGTACAAAATGCATAAAATTACAATAATAATGCCTTCCATTCTTGCTTGGTCTCCAATAGCGTAATGGAACTTGCTGATAACGTGAACAGGATGCGCAGAGGTATGCAAATGCATATGTTGACAGTAGAACAGCCTATAGTAGCCCTTGGACCGAGGGATATGATTGCACAAACATTTAATGGTTCTACGCCTTCCACAGACGATATTAATACATATAAATACATTTAGACCACTTAACTTGGTGATTGCTATCGGGATGTGAAGAGACTTTCAACCAGCATAACAAAAAAGTGTTTTTGAACCAAATCAACTACCCTGCCTTTAACAACTAACTTACTAACTATTAATAAGCAACAAATTAGGAATGTATTGAGGCAAAAGTCATAGTTAGTTAGTAGTGAGAACTGATCCCCAAACTAAAGTGTGACCAGAACTGATCAGTTTTTTTTTTTGGCCATACAGTGGAAGTCAATGGAAAGCAAAACCTGCCACCAACATTTTTCAAAAATTCTTCTTTTTGTGTTTCGCTGAATAATGAAAATCAAACAGGTTTGGAACAACATGAGGGTGAATAAATGATGACAGAATTGTCATTTATGGGTAAACTATCTTTTTAAGCTGGGATTGGAGAAAAAAATTATTAGGGTGATAATTCACCTGATTCTTTGTGAAAATCCCATAATTTAATTAGAGTTCAGTTATAAATCATATTCAGAAATAAATCAAATATGTGTGATCCTCGGCTTCTCTCCTTTAATGGTTATTGTGGCCTCTCTAATCCCTGTGTTCTTTAATCGGGTCTTTGTCTTGTCCAATTGCTGTCTTGGCAAAAATCACAGGCTGAATAAAGTGTTCGTACTAAATTCTTCTTATGGATTACCAACATATCCTGCCTTTGCATGCAATACTGCTTCTTGTTCATCCAGTTGGGATTTTCTTTTTTGTGAATAATCTTTCTGAAGTCAGATGTTTTTATCTAAAGTCAAACTTTTAGGGTAAAACACTGGAAATAATATATACTGTATATACACAAACACACATGTAGTGAAGTGAAGTGACGTGACATGTGGCCAAGTATGGTGACCCATACTCGGAATTAGTGCTCTGCATTTACCCATCCAAAGTGCACACACACAGCAGTGAACACACACACACCGTGAACACACACCCGGAGCAGTGGGCAGCCATTTTATGCTGCGGCGCCCGGGGAGCAGTTGGGGGTTCGGTGCCTTGCTCAAGGGCACCTTAGTCGTGGTATTGAAGGTGGGAGAGAGTGCTGTACATTCACTCCCCCCACCTACAATCCCTGCCGGTACGAGACTCGAACCCACAACCTTTGGGTTATGAGTCCGACTCTCTAACCATTAGGCCACGACTTATATGTATGATATATTTTAATTTAAATACATCAAATGCTACAATGGTGTGTAAATGTGTTGCAAATTTATAATATATATAATTATTTTTGTCATATTACCTTCATGAAAATGTGTTTTTGTTTGCTGGTTTGTTTTTTGCATTATGGTAATAAGAATTGAATAGGAACTTATGCTTAATTGTCATGAATATAATGTCACAGTGCAAAACAAGTAAATATTTCATATAATATAAACATCTGTTCTCCAAATCTCTTGTCATTAATCCCGTCGATTATGACAAAAGCTTGATTTATTTGTGTCAGGGAAGATTATTTACGCCCTTCTGTTACACCTCTACGTTTCTCTGTTTCGCTGTGTCTCTCTTTCTCTGTCAAGGTGTGGAGTTGTTGTGCGACCGTGATGTTGACATGGCGACGCGGGTGCAGGACCTGTTGGATTTCCTGCATGAGAAACAGCAGGAGCTGGACGCAGCCGCAGAGCAGCACAGGAGACACCTGGAGCAGTGCGTGCAGCTCCGCCACTTACAGGCCGAGGTCAAACAGGTAACATCTGACTGTCTGTCTCTCTGTCTACCCATCCAGCAGCGCAATAACTCATTCAGGCACATGCATACATGCTCATGTAAGCATGGACTTAAATTTCAGATCATGATACAGCTTTGTCAGCGAAGAACAAAACAACCACTGTGTGATGTGTTCTAACACACCTCCATATTAATAAGTGTCATGATTAATTATGCAATAGAGATTTTATTTTAGAGGTGGGAATTTCCTCTGTCTGTTCCTGAGCAGTGACTCATGGTTAGTGAATGTAGGCCAAATCGAGGTTGAAAATTAGACATTACCTAGTACACTAATACATCTGACGCCTTGTTGCATATCTTTGGTTTATTACATTGTCACACAATGTAGCTTTTTGTGATGTAACTGTGATAGATTGTCTTCCTCCAGTAAACAATGATAATTAAGATCATAATATTTTAGGAAGTGGCCTTTCTTTCACAAACAATGATACATATAGGGTTCAATGGGGCTAAAGGCACACTTTAAGGAAAATGTGTGGGGGTTTTTTTCAGTACTTCCATAATGTATGATGTCAGAAAAATATATATTTTTTGAACATTGATGGAACAACACATTTTGTGGGGAAAGGAATTATAAAAGTAGTTTGTTTCGTTTAAAATCATTAAAAAATGTGATTAGAGATGGCATAGAGGTCCTTTTACCCAACAGCCAGGGTAAATGCATTTAAATTTCGTAAATCTCATCAATTTAAATATGATGACTTTGTTATAAACATGGTGATTATCTCTAATGTAGACACCTAAATTTAATTTAACTTAATTTATTTTAATTGCAACTTTATTAATTACATTAACAATCATTATTACATTACATTATGGTCAAAATATAATTTGTTAATATTCAAATAGCTAGAAGCTTGATTTTTATATTTACATATGCATTTGAAATACTAAATTACTATTAACTACTGATCTGTTAAGCATTATATAATGTTTGTTAACTATTTTTTAATATTGAGTGAAGTGCAGTGTTAATAGTTTTGAATAGCAGTTCTGACTGCATAAAGGGGCTGTTGGGAAACAGAGCAGTTTTATAGCACTGGGCACGCTTAAAATGAGAAGGAAAAACTAGGCCAGGAGGAGCAGCTGGTAATCTCATTTCATCCTCTCATTTATTTATTTTATTATTTATATATTTATTTTTGTCTGGACTGCTCTAGAGGAAAAGAGTGATTAGAGATGTCGAGGAGCTGGGATGCCCGTGTTGTTTAAGGTCTGGTGGTTAGTAAACATGTTATCATGTATTTGGTTTTATAGTGAAACTGTGTGTGTGTGTGTGTGTGTGTGTGTGTGTGTGTGTGTCAGTTTTCAGTCTGTTTATTTACATTTATGGAAGGAACATAGTTGTGTTATCTGTGACTGGCAGTGTATCAGCACTAAAGCAGGTGTGTAAAGTGTGAGTCAGTGTGTCAGGAGACGGCGTGGAATTTAGACCCGAAGGTGGAGTCAAAGAACACATCTGTCAGTATTAAATATGTTCACTTTCCCCACTGATGCAACCCAACAGTTAACAGCACACCATATACTTACATGTCTCAACTTTCATGAAAGTGCTTTTCGATTTAGTGTAAAAGGCAGTACTTACTTTCTGTACAGTGGCAGTGGGTGAACAGGTTGGTGGTATTGCCCCCTTTTGCACTCACTGTTGATTGGCAAGTCCTGCAGACTGAGGTGATTAACAAGCCATTATCGCGGAATCCAAATACGTCTCACACTGGCGAGCTCACTTTTTATCCGATGCCATTCTTTTGCTCAGCAGTAGTAGCTGCGCTGTCTTTTCTGTTTTATGACAAGTGTCAAACAGCATTAAGGTGCAATACCTCCACCTACATTGGGATGTCAGCCAGATAGTTAGTGGTAGTTGTTCACTTTTAAATATCATATTATTACTGATATATTGCAACACCCCTAATTGACACAATAACGATATGACATTATTTAAATCACGATTATCATCGATACTGGCATACAGCGACACCCCTACTGTGAAGAACTTTTCTTTCTAAAAATGTGAGTATGTTTACATAGATGATCGAAAATGTGTGTTTCAGGTGCTGGGTTGGATCCGTAACGGGGAGTCAATGCTTAATGCAGGTCTCATCACAGCCAGCTCTCTACAGGAGGCAGAACAGTTACAGCGGGAACATGAGCAATTTCAGCATGCTATTGAGGTACCAAACAATCTTTTTTATTAGCATTTAAATGTGGATGTTCCTTAGACATGCCAGTTTTGTTTTGTTTGTTATATTTCTTTTTGCTCCAGAAATAACGGACTTATTCAATATTAGTTGTTTTATATTTCTTTTTGCAGTTGCCTCTTTCAGACATTTATATGTAAATCATAAAAAAAAAAAAAAAATTATAAATAATAAATGCCCTCATGATGGCCACAGTTTTTCTTGTCAAATGAATAACTCCACTCACTTTTCAAAGTGAGGTTTAAGGCCAAAAGAGAAAGGAAAAATGGTTTTCCATGGCATGAACCATTTGTTAAAAATGTCCTGCTCATTTTCGCTTTCTGTTCTCATTTTTCACTTTCTCTTTCATTTTCCTTATCTTTTCATTCAATGCAGAAAACCCATCAGAGTGCGCTGCAGGTGCAGCAGAAGGCAGAGGCTCTGCTACAGGCCAATCACTACGACATGGACATGATCCGTGACTGCGCAGAGAAGGTGGCGTCTCACTGGCAGCAGCTCATGCTGAAGATGGAAGACCGCCTCAAACTGGTCAATGCCTCAGTGGCTTTCTACAAGACATCAGAGCAGGTCAGTGAGCTTGTCTTAATAGTGATTCTGTCATTTTTGACCTCTTGTTCATTTAGCACAACAAGTGGTAGACATTTTGAAGACTTTGGTCATAATTATTTTGCCTTGGCGATTTGGGATTTCCTTAATAAACAGTTTTTTCCAAAAACCATAGATATACAAAGACAGTTCAGTCCTATTACTTATGAATGGGAGAAACTGCAACATGTGGGGAATAGTCCCACATTCTAAATGAAAGAGCAAATCGCTGAATGGTAAAGTCGTTGCATCACTGCAGCTGCCGTTAGAAGCTCCGGTTCCCATAGAAACCTGAGACTTGCGCTTATGACTGCACATGTGCATTGGCTGGTCTAGCCTGAAAAAAAAGATTTTTAATGCTATTTGAGCATTCATGGGGCAGTTAATTTCAGATTGTGTTGCTGATTTGAAATATGTCATTTAATTGTGAGTTCAGAAGGCAGTTTTTGGGATTTCCGGATTCTACCATTCATTTAGATAGGACTTTGTCTTGGATGCCTGAAATATTTATTAAAGGGGTCATATGATGCTGCTAAAAAGAACACTATTTTGTGTATTTGGTGTAATGAAATGTGTTTATGCGGTTTAAAGTTCAAAAAACACATTATTTTCCACATACTGTACATTATTGTTTCTCCTCTATGCCCCGCCTTCTGAAACGCGTCAATTTTTACAAAGCTCATCGGTCTGAAAAAGCGAGGTGTGCTGTGATTGGCCAGCTATCCAATGTGTTGTGATTGGCCGAATACCTCAAGCGTGAGATGGAAATGTTACGCCCCTCACATACTGTTGATGCCGTGTCCGGCCGGAGCGATGAGACATAAACATTAAAACCCATTACAAACGAGGCATTTGTTGCATCCAGTGGGGACATAATTACTGATTATAATGACTTATACTGTCTTTTTACGCGTTGAGTTGCATTGCATCGCGCCGCGTAAACATAAAACTCTGTCTGCATTTGTGATCGGAGAAATGACAAACAACATGCATGCAAGGTCAAAAAACACTTTCATTTTCTTATAATATGCATTTATTTTTACCTTACTTGCTCAACGACTCCCAAACGATTCGCTCAACGATTCATTTTTCCAAACCCCTCCTTTGCATGATGCTAATCTGCGGTGATTGGTCCGATTGGTCTCATTTCCCTTTCATCATGCCTGTAATGCCTGATAAAGCAGCGTTTGTGAGCACAGTGCTGCTTTGTGTACAGCGTTACCGGGGAAACCAAATTTGCATTATCATTCAGACCAACGCGAAAATCAAGTTTCCCAGGTCTGCGCGCGCAACAAGTGGGCGGGCAATATGCTAATGTTTCATGTTGACGTCAACATGAAACGGCTTGGGATTCATTTAAAAAAAGACTCGTTTAAATGATTCAGAGTTGACTCTTTCTTTTGAGACACAATAACTTTATACACGGTGCACTTTCAGATGTAAAACTTTGCAGGATATTTTCATTCACTTAGAGCTGTGTTACACACTGCATCAATACACGGTGCACTTTCAGATGTAAAACTTTGCAGGATATTTTCATTCACTTAGAGCTGTGTTACACACGGCATGAAAGGTCATTTTCAAAAATCCATAATAGGGGCGCTTTAAGGAGGCTGAAACATTTGTTGTTGTTGTTGTTGTTGTTGTTAATGTTTAATGTGTTTTTTCCCCTCATTGTTCTTTGTACTGGACAGTTTTTACTGGATTGAAAACAAATTAGTAAATTATGACATAGTGTTCATAGTTATGGGATAAAATGTCATATGACATAAAAAAGGTTGCATTTATAAAATGCAAAGTCATAATTATGACATAAAAAGTCAAAATCATGATGCAAGTACTTATCAGTGCTTGTCATTAATTAATTAGCTTATCATTAATTATTAGTCTCATAATTTTATTTTTTTATTTTATAATTATGACTTTTTGTCATCATTTATAACTTTTTATGTCAGTTTTGACTTACCTCATAATTATGACTCAATATCTCGTAATTTTTACTTTTAATATTATAATTATGACTTAGTATCTCATAATTTTAACTTTTTATCTCTTCACTTTTGGCTTTTTATCTCATAATTATAGTATTTCATAATTTAGATTTTTTTTTTTTTATGTGGTGGAAATAGGCTTCTCTATTACATATCCGGGTTTGTTTTTGCTTATATTTTTTATGTATAACTACATGTGTGTATTCTGCAGGTGTGTAGTGTGCTGGAAAGTTTAGAGCAGGAATACAAACGAGAGGAAGACTGGTGTGGAGGGATTGATAAACTGGGACCAAACTCAGAGTCTGATCACGTGATGCCCATGATCAGTAAACACCTGGAGCAGAAAGAGGCCTTCCTCAAGGTACCTAGCGCATACACACATGCACACACATACAGGTTCTCAAGTATCATTCCGATCGTGACATTAAAAATTTGGTGCAAATTTAATCATAACTAACCCTTTTTTTTCTGAAGGCATGCACACTAGCAAGACGCAATGCTGATGTTTTCCTCAAGTACTTACACAGAAACAGCGTGAATATGCCGGGAATGCTCGCACATGTCAAGGCCCCTGAACAACAAGTCAAGAGTAAGACTACATACTCCTTTTTAAAAAAAGCCCTTTTATGACTGGTTTAAAGAACCAAATATTAAGCCACATTTTAGTTTGAAGTGAACCATTATTTGCTATTTGATTAGCGTTATTATATGATTATCATGTTCTGTGTTTCTGATTCTGTCTCTGTCCTGCAGACATCCTGAATGAGTTGCTGCAGCGGGAGAACCGGGTTCTGCACTTCTGGACCATGAGGAAGAGAAGGCTTGACCAGTGTCAGCAGTATGTGGTGTTTGAACGCAGCGCTAAACAGGTCAGTTCTGGTTTAATCCAGGTCTGAACCAGTAAAAAGGCAGAGCAGTGTACAGATGGTCTAGCGGAGCCTGCTTTTTGAATCATTTTATAGTCTGGTCCAAATTGTGTCTCATTTTGTCAAGTAACTTAGACAAAAGAATCTCTTTGTGAAGAGGTGCACCTGAGATTGAAGCTTCCACGTTGATGGTTTGCCTTTCAACAAAGCAGTAACTTGATATCATGATAAAAATGTCACCACACCATCTTCCTCATACAGACAAAACCAAAATATAGTGCAAAATGTGATTGTAAGTATTGCTTTACAGAAAATAAAAAACAAAAAAGAAGTGAAAGATTTCCTTACAGCTTAAAGGGTTAGTTCACCCTTCTATGGGAGGGTCAGAGAGCTCTCAGAATTAATCAAAAATATCTTAATTTGTGTTCCGAAGATGAATGGAGGTCGTACGGGTTTTAATTAATGACAGAATTTTCATTTTTGGGTGAACTAACCCTTTAAGGTTTATGCTTACCATTAATTTGAGCAACTCATCAAAAATAAGACATATTAATAGTAAGGTCATGTCCCTTCTTTAGAAATATTCCTGCTTTAGGGAATGCTAAGAGGGATTAGAAAGGAAGAAAATAAAGAGTTAAGTTTTAACATGCCGTCCTGAAAACAAGTTAAGGAAATTGGAGGGAATAGGAGAATAATTTACTGGATATTGTTATATATTAACAGCAACAGTAATAATAATAATAATGTTTGTTTATTTATTTTTATTTATTAATTGACCAGACTGCAAAAACACTATCTCTGTTGACAGTTTTTAATTTTAGGACAAAAATGACAGACAATGATTTCTAGCATGACCTCTGGCTGGCATATACTTAAATACACATTTGGTTAAGCAAATATGGATACATACTGTACATACTAATGGAAAGGTAATTTAAACAGATGTAATTAGTCACACATCATTAATGATAGTGTTGCATTTCCATCCTTTTGGAAATAATAAGGTCTGACACAGTGGTAAACCATGGTGCTACAAACACCAAGGCCACGGTTTCAGTTCCCAGGAATTAGAAATTCTGATAAATGTTTATTTTTAATTCGTTGCATTGCCATATTTGTGTGCGGTATGCATCATACAGTGTATGCGAGTGTCATCTCTTAAAAAAGTGTCTCAAAATTTCAAGAAAGAGGGTAGGAAAATATAATTTCTTCACTTTCATCAAACATCAGTTTCGCTTACAGAATTTTGTTCTTCAAACCCTACTGTCTATTTGAGATGAAATTATTTTATGTCATACACAATTGACTAGAAGGCCTCAACAAGTATTTCTGGAGTATCAAATAACAGAACCATGTCAGGTCAAGCATTCTGCTATAGAAACCCGAAAGAGGTTCAACTGTCATGTATCACATGCTTGAAAAAAAAAAAGTGTACTGTATTTGTAGCTCTTACTAGCACATTTATATTTTTGCCCTAGTATGATGAAAAAGCATCTGCCTAAAAAAATTAACTGAAAAGGTTCTCCTAATGCACAAGTTGTGTAAATTGTGTCTGCTGCATAATTACAGTGTAGGGTTTCAGGAAGTCTGTGTACTGGATGGAGTTTCTGTCTTCGTTCTGTGTTTAAATGCTTAGTAATTGAGAGGAAGGACTGTAGTTTGACCACACAGTGCTCTGCTGCAGTACTCACAGACTTGTGTCCTGATGTTCCCCAGGCCCTGTAATGAGGGTGGCCCACAAAGTTCCTCTTTGAGACACAGAAACATTTTGTCAGTGAAAATTAGTGGCAAACCTGCACACAATGCAACCTGTTCTAAAAAATCAGTTATTTTTAAATTGATATGAAAATGTTGATAGAGAGAGAGCACTTTTAGAGATGAGAGTATAACATGAGAGTATAACATATACACATTTATTCCCACACACTGGCTTTTTATATATCCTTGTCTGGACTTCCCTTTTACAGCTATTGTTAATAAAAGCTAATTATAAATTCTATAAACTAAACCTAACCTTGAAGACATTTTTGTGTCCCTTTACTGCTTTTCTGTTGAGGCTATTTTCAAAAACTATGCTCCCACAAGATTAGAAAAACAACAACAAAAACACATGCACACATTCACATTTTATCCTCTAAGCGTCTTATTTTTTCTTGTCATTTTGTCTTGTTCTGCAGGCTTTGGAGTGGATCCATGATACAGGAGAGTTTTACCTATCCACACACACCTCCACTGGCTCCACTATACACCACACACAGGAACTGCTGAAAGAACATGAGGAATTCCAGATTACAGCCAAGGTATGTCTCAATTAAGGGACATTTTGCTTTTCTTTTTTCCTAGATGCCTAGAAGCTGAATCAGAACGGTTGTACATCAACATTTAGACCATATTCTATTGTCCGTTTGTTGTCATCATTTACTCTTCCTTTCGTTGTTCCAAACCCAACGTTCTTTCGTCATTGCAATTGAAAAGAAGAATGATTTCTTAATGTCTAGAGTGCTCTTTTACGTAGTAGAGAGTGATGCTGTCAAGCTCCAAAAATCACAAAAAGGCACCATAGTAGTAGCCCTGATGACTTCTGTGCTATATTCCAAGTCTTTTGGATTTTGCTAACTTTGTAATATGCTAACAAACAGGGTATTTATATTTTAGGTAACTAAAAAATTTAATTAATTAATAAAGTTTTGTTACTTGAAATGTAATAAACTTTAACTAAAAATAAAATGTATTAAAAAAATTTAAAAACGTATTTTATGTTAGTTGCTGAGGCAATATTTCTTATTTTTATTTAGAAGATATATTGGGAGAAAAATTGTAAAAGAATACAAAGCGTACAACATCACTAAAATAAAAACTAATTCAGGTAATATGCTAGCATATACAGTAGCTTGCTGAAAAACGTAATAAAAAGTTATTCTATGACTGTGATTGTCAGCATGTCGCAGGTTTATCAACTCACCAGCAAATCACAATACACCTCTCAGATTATGTTTACACTCTGATCTTTGGCTCTGTGGAATCAGTGCAGCTCTCTCTCTCTCTCTCTCTCCAGCAAACCAAAGAGCGGGTAAAGTTGTTGATCCAGCTGGCTGATGGTTTTTGTGAGAAGGGCCACTCCCATGCGAGCGAGATTCAGAAATGGATCGCCTCGGTGGACAAACGCTACCGTGACTTTTCCCTCCGCATGGACAAGTACCGTTCCTGCCTGGAGAAAGCGCTCGGCCTGTCCACTGACTCCAACAAAGCGGTGAGAGGGCTGTGAGAGTAGGTGTGTTGATGTGGCCTGCATGGCTGGAGTGTGGATGAACAAAACGTTTGCTGTAAGAGTCGTTAACCATGTTAATTTATGAAAGAAAGGTGATTTCTAACCATTAAAGCATTTCATTTGGGGTTTCAGAGTAAAGATCTGCAGTTGGACATCATTCCAGCCAGTGCTCCTGGTGCAGAGGTCAAGCTCCGAGACGCCAACCATGAACTCAATGAGGAGAAGCGGAAATCGGCCCGCAGAAAAGAGTATGTCTTTTAAACCTGATTATATGATATCAAGCCAAAAGCAGGAAGTGCTTAAAGGGAAGGGTTAATACTTCATCTGATGAAAGTCCAGCTTTAGTGACTTTGTGTTTTGAGGAAACACCCATAAATATGCATACTAAAGGAAACGTGTTTTAATTTTTGAGGTTTTTATACTAGATTGAAATCCCTCCCAGAGGTATTGTGCTTTCAAACAAATGTTGACAATAGGTCTCTGGTGCATTGCCCTGTTACCTCTCTCTTTTCAGGTTTATAATGGCAGAGCTCATTCAGACCGAGAAGACATATGTGAGAGACCTGCGGGAGTGTATGGATGTAAGTTCTGTTGTCACGGTTTGCTCCGTACGGACCAACATTTAGAGGGTGTGGTACACCAATGTCCACTTTGGACAGATCACAAAAGCCCTGTGCTATAAATGTATTCACTGCAGTACAGCCCAAGAACAATCCAGTTTCTCCAGGAATAGCTGCTGTTTGATCTCATGAAAAGATGGGTGTCATTAAAACACTGACTATGTTTACATGCACCATTTTTGAATCTCCACATTTCCACAGCTATTGGAATATTCATACACTCTGGAATACTCATGTAATCATATTCCGAAAATAATAAATGTGCATTCTTTTTCTTTCATTCTCTTCTGGGGGGGAAAAACTATCAGTGATTCATGTATTATGATGCATTTTCATAATTTTGCACGGTAATTTAATCAGCTCATTTATTTTCATTAAGTGTGATTTATATGTATATTGATTTATGTTTATTTTGTTTAATGTGTGTTAAAAAAAAAAAAAAAGGTCAATAGTCGTCAATAGTTTGACTTGATTGTTCTATCGTAGCACCCAGAATTACTTTTGTTTTGATATTTAAGGATAAACATTAATATTCGGTTTCAGTGCATATTCTGGATAATATGGTTTATGACACAGAATTCTGATTAATACTGGTTAATACCAAAAGACTGTCAAACAGTCATTTTAAAAGAAAATGGAAAGGTGAAAATATAACTGTAAAAACATGTTCAGAATTGACCCTTTTTAATATCATGTTCTTGTTGTTTTCATAATCATCTTGATCAAATTAAAGTACATTTGATATAAATTATTAGAGAATGTTCTTCGCTTCAGAAATACTTTCCACTGACATAATTGAAGATGCATTTGAAGAAAAATCGTATTAACCAATAAAATCAGAGTTAACTATCCACAATCTGAACACATCCAGATAGATAAAATCAATGTTAACACTGAAATACAGGAGTTGTCTTTAAAAGTGTAATAGTATTAGTCTGTTATCACATTAATGGAAAAAATTCGAAGTGTGAGTGTGTGTGTTTCAGACATATCTGTGGGAGATGAGCAGTGGTGTGGAGGAGATTCCCCCAGGGATTGTCAACAAAGAGCACATCATTTTCGGCAACATGCAAGACCTATTAGAGTTCCATCACAAGTCAGTGAACCTTATAACCTGCGATTCTTATAATTATGTATTTCTAACGTCCTTTACTTACTTACCATTTACTTACCATTAACATGCTTCTCTGTCCTTTTCTCAGTATTTTCCTTAAAGAACTGGAAAAATATGAGCAGCTTCCAGAGGATGTGGGTCACTGTTTCGTCACATGGGTGAGTGTCAGTGTGCTAGAGATAATCTTATCAAGAAGTGCACTAGACTCATGTAACATTATATTGACATTAAATCAGATCATTAGAACACATATCTGGGTTGCACTGTATTTGACAGTACATGCAATTACAGTTTACATTCAAAGAAAGTACTATAAGAGTAATATAAGGTCACTTTTTAGACTTAAATGGGTTTAGTTTTAGGTTCAGGGTTAGTACCTTGTTATTATAGTAAGTACTGTACATAGTACATACATTAAGCTTCAAAGGTTTGGGAATAAATGCTGTTCTTTGTACTTTCTATTCATCAAAGTAAAAATGTTTATTTAAAACAAAAATAAAAAATTACTGTATATCGGTTTCCACAAAAATATTAAGCAGCATGATACTTTTCAACTGTGATGATAAAATGTTATTTCAGCAACAAATTAATGATTTTTTAAGGATCATGTAACACTGAAGGCTGAAGTAAGGGCTGCTGAAAATTCACCGTTGCCATCAAAGGGAAAAAAACACATTTTAAATTAAATAATAAAATAAAATAATTGTTGTTTTAATTGTAATATTTCACAATTTTAATGTCTTTCCTGTATTTTTGATCATATAAGGTTCCTGTTAACAGAAAGCAATGATTGAGTGCATATTGAAACAATTACAGCTATATTACACTATTTATGAAGCATCTCTTAAATCAGTGTTTATTTAAAGGGGTCATATGATGCGATTTCAAGTTTTCCTTTCTCTTGTTTCTGATAACAGCTTGTCATTCTAAAAGAGACACCAGTTCTTAGAAGTGAAAAACAGAGCATCTTCTTGTTCAAAATGTTAATTTTTTTTTTTTTTTTTTGTATGTGCTTTATTTTTAGGCGGATAAGTTTCGGATGTATGTGAATTACTGTAAGAACAAGCCTGACTCCACCCAGCTGATTCTGGAACACGCGGGGACCTATTTTGATGTGAGTATTAAGCAAACTAATCATAAAATGCATATGATTGTGTGTAAGGACATACAATTCTGTGAAAGTATCCCTTTTACACCCTTTAATCAAGGAAGTTACATTTATGTATTCAGATTATGTAACACTTTTTGTGTGTATTTGACAGAGAATGTGGCTGTTATATAAATATGTATGTGACATTGTGTATTTGTCATAGTATTAGTGTGTGTGTGTGTATTAATGTGTATATGTGTTGGAATACATGTGCGTATGTGTGTATGAGTTAGTGTGTGTATGGCTGCTGTGGTCTGTTAATCATTTCTGTTCTTGAGCTGGTAGGTGGAGGTCTTAGAGAGAGGGCACTTCCTGTGTGTCTGGGGGTGGGTGGGGGACCAGTGATGCCTCACTACTAAACTGTTGCCAGGCGATCAGAACAGATGGACTGTTCTTTTAGGACTGAGCAGATCTGAGCTTAAGATCTGCTTTTGAAAAATTGCTATCAAGAAGCTATTTAGAATGAAAAAGCTAAAGATAGATGGTTACTGATTGTTTTCCAGCATGTGTTTAAGGTGTTTGTGTGAAAGATGTTTGTTTGTTTTTTTCAGCAAAAACTTAAGTGTGCTTGTATGTGTACAGGAAATCCAACAGAGACACAGGCTGGCTAATTCCTTATCATCATACCTTATTAAACCTGTTCAGAGGATCACCAAGTATCAGCTTCTGCTGAAGGTACTCAGCTGTGTACTATAATGCATTAAATAAACTCAGCACAGTTCAGATTGTTAACCATAAAGATTCTACAAAAAAAGCAATAATCTGATTTTTAGCACAGACTCAAAAAGACCAGATACAAACTAAATACAAACCCATCACACACTCAGAACAGTTCCATCCATCACAAACCCAGCATTGAGACAATTCAGTACAGTAACTACAGACCTTACTCAAAGCCAGCATAGACTAAATACAGGTCCATCACAATATTAGCACAGAATAAGCACAGACCTACTACAAAGCCTGCACTGAACCAGCACAGACCCATCACAAATCTAATTACAGACTAAACACAGACCTACCACAAGTAAGTAAAAAAACAATAGTTTAAATGTGCTCAGAAACAGCACAGATACATCACAAACCAAGCACAGATTAAACACAAATCTAGCACAGACCAAATATAAAACCATAACAAACCCAAAACAGACTAAACACAGACCCAGCACAGACTTAATCTAGAACTATCACACACCCAGCACTGACCAAACACAGAACCATAACAAACCCAGCACAGACTTAACATAAAACCATCACTAACCCAGCACTGACTAAACACAAACCCATAACAAACCCAGCGCAGACTTAACATAAAACCATCACTAATCCAGCACAGACTAAACATAGAACCATAAGAAACCCAGCACAGACTTAACATAAAACCTTCACTAACCCATCACAGAACCATAACAAACCCAGCACAGGCTTAACATAAAGCCATCACTAACCCAGCACTGACTTAACATAAAACCATCACTAACCCAGTGCTGACTAAACACAGAACCATAACAAACCCAGCACAGACTTTACATAAAGCCATCACTAACCCAGCACTGACTAAACATATAAATATCACAAACCCAGCACAAGCTAAACATTAAAATACCACAAACCTATCACATACTCAACACAGAACCATCACAGAGTCAGCTAAGACCCAATACAAACTGAACACAGAACAACAGCAGTCAGACACAAATTCAGCACAGACCCAACAAAAATCCAAAGTAGACTAAACACAGACCTTACCCAAATCAAAATGTGGGTCCAAAAGTGCAATTGTTATGTTTGTTTGTAGGAACTATTGACGTGTTGTGAGGAGGGTAAAGGAGAAATTAAAGATGGCCTGGAGGTTATGCTTAGTGTGCCCAAAAAAGCTAATGATGCTATGCACCTCAGCATGCTGGAGGGTGAGTAACACAGCTTACTAAACCAAACCCAGTGCTTCTTCTTTAATCTTGTATCGTTGTTCAACCTCTCTTTCCTTTTTGCTCTCTCTCACTCTCTGCTTCATGTCCTCTCAGGTTTTGATGAGAACATTGAGTCTCAGGGTGAGTTGATTCTGCAGGAGTCATTCCAGGTTTGGGATCCAAAGACTCTGATTCGTAAGGGCAGAGAGCGGCACCTCTTCCTCTTTGAGATGTCTCTCATCTTCAGCAAGGATGTCAAAGACTCCAACGGCAGGAGCAAGTACCTCTACAAGAGCAAGCTCATGGTGTGGGTTTTACTTGTAAAGCTGTTTAAATAAATTATCGTGTCATGGATGGCCATACTTTATAATAGACTGAATTATTTCATGTTTGATCTATGCTTTTTTACTCTGCCTAGACCTCACAACTAGGAGTTACTGAACATGTGGAAGGAGATCCATGTAAATTTGCACTCTGGCTTGGACGGACACCTACCTCAGACAACAAAATAGTCCTAAAGGTATGATTCAAGTTCCAAATTGATACTTCGTCCAAGGTTTTGTTTCAGTACAGCTGTCACTTATTTTTGGCTTGTAATAAATGTTTTCTTTGCTTTCAAGTTTATTTCTATCCAAACATTGCTAACTGGCTCAGCATACAAGCATGTTTCATTACTGAAAAGTTGTCCCTTATCTCAAATCAAATAGATCTTTCCATTGGTCTTTGTTATAAAATAAAAAGTATCATTCATCTGAGGATCCTTGAAATATACCACATGAGTGGATATGTTTTCAGGTTTTGAATGTTCAAGTACTGTGGCTCTGGCTTGAGTCATTTCATTGTATAAAATTATTTGCTAAAACTTGTAAGCACTTATGTAACTTGTGTCTCTGAATGGTTGCCCTTCATCACTGAAGACGTAATTGAATCATGTAATGAATCGTATGCCATTCCATGTGTTCTCACATGTATATAGACAGACACATGGATGCAAAATGGGCTTACAGTTAGTAAACATTGTTTCCACCTATTTTACTTCTGTAATCTGATGTATTCCCAAGTGAAAAGTAGGATGGGAATTGATTTTATCCTTTGAGAATTGATTGAATCATTGATTGAGTTTCTTTGACAGGTGGTTGGAGGCAGAAGTCAAACAGTGTTTGACTTCATTTGAACTCTGATTGCATGTTATCATTATTTTTGCAACAGATTTGTAGGCTTTTACAATTCCAATTACTATTTATATCTGTTGTGTAAAAGGTTCATTAATGTTTTGTTGTGTTCAATGCACCCCCAGGCTTCATGTATCGAAAACAAACAGGACTGGATTAAGCATGTACGCGAAGTTATCCAGGAGCGTACCATTCTTTTAAGGGGTGCACTCAAAGAGCCAATCCACATTCCCAAAGCCACTGCAACCAAACACAAGGGCAAACGGTACGTTAACAACTCGCATCAATCCAACTCAATAACCATGTATGGATCTCTGGATCTCAGAATATGTTAACATAGAAGAAACAAGTTTTATGCATATCAGTATCTTGTTTTTGACATCGACTGTCTAACTGTCTAACTTTTTCTTGGTCAGTTTGCACTTTTGAATGATATGTATTATATTGACTAACAGGGATGGAGAGGACCTAGACAGTCAGGGTGATGCAAGCAGTCAGCCAGACACCATCTCCATCGCCTCCCGCACCTCCCAGAACACACTGGATAGTGACAAGGTGAGTGTAAAAATCTGTCGACCTTAGTCTAAAAGTGCCATGCTACACCCGGTGTTCAGTTTTGGTGAAATGTTTAAGCCTGCAGCATTTTTAAGACAATGAAAATTGTTTAATGTCTGTACTGAATGTTTTAGCCTCACTCTAAAAGATTTTTTTTTTATACCAAGATTTAAAATGTAGTTTAAAAAACCCATTGTGCCATCACATTCAAAGACCACTGTAATGAAACTTGTAATAGTATGATCTAAAATCAAGTTCTTAAAGGGATAGTTCACCCAAAAATAAAAATTCTGCCGCAATGTCATTCTAAACCCATAAGACTTCCCATTGATCTTCATAACACAAATTAAGATATTTTGAATATTCTCTCATCATTTTTGTCCATCCATTGAAAGTGTATGCAACCAAAATCTTCACACAGTAAGTACAAAAAAATTGTAAATAAAAAACACCTGGAAGCTCAAAAATACTTGCTTGATTGGTTTGTTCTCACATGTCAAGTAAGCATGGTTGCGCTTCTGTGTTTACCGTATTTGATGAGCTCTATGTATGTGCAAGGAAGACTTTGATTAAACTGCATTTTTGGGGGGGTAAACTATTTTAGCGCTCATGGAACACTATGGACATTTGCAATGCCGATAAAGTTTATTAAATCTTCACCAAAACTGGTCTGATCATCTTCAGTCCAATCTTCACAAAACAAAGTAAATGGATTTCTGATGTTGAAAACTTTGAAAGTGCTAGTGACTAACTAGAAGTACTATTTATCTGTACTAGTTATCTTTACTGCAATATCCTGGTGAAACATTACAAGTAGAAATACGTATAGCCTTTAAACAGCATATCCTACAATCTCCCGCGAGGATTCTATGACTAAGCAAGTTCACATGCCATGTTTATGTCATTTATGTGGTTGGCCCCATTATTGCTGCTTGAAGCTATATTCCATAATTGGCATTTCATATCAGATGGATGAGCATTCATTTGAAGTAGTTCATGGTTGCATCTTGTTTTGATCCAAAGATTTAAAGAACAGAATCTTGTTCTCTCCCCTAAATTTACACTCTTCTTTAGAGATAATACTGAGCTGCTGGAAAATCAGTGAAATGTACCTGAGCAAAAAAACATTTGCTTCATTCATCTCTGTCAAGGCTACCTCAGACAAAAGGCTGCGCCACACCGACTTGTGTCCAAGAAACAGGCTAAACCTACAATAAACCTGATTTTAATTATGAATCAAATCTTAAAGAACAGCTGATTCCAGGCATTAGGTTTTAGAGACAAGGGTCACATATGGGTGAATCTTCAAATAGGGCCACTTTCACGACGTAAAATCTTGACAGATGATTTTGGTATAATGTTTGATGGTGGGGATTTTTAATTTGAATGAATGAATGTTAAAAACAATCTCAAATTTGAGCCTGTGCGATAACACTTTAACAGTAATAAAGCTACTCATTATCATAAACTTAAAATTAATTGCATTTCTGTCACTATGCAGTTGTGGCAAGAATGACTCATCAGTGGTGAGGTAATAATGAGGGGACATTATTGGGGACATTTTTTGTTAAGTTGTTTGTCAAGTGACATTTATTTATAAAGCGCTTTATACAATACAGACAGTGGCATGAGTGGTAATGTTGTAAAATTCATAAACTATAAAAACTCAAATTTCAGCTGTAAAGCAACTCTACAGAAGACAATAGTGCCATTATTCAGCTCAATTTATTTCAATGCTGTTTAGTTCAACAGTGTCAATGTTGATTATGAAGTTCAGTTCAGAGGCAATTACTGTTATATAAATTAGTGTCATATAAATGCTAAATTAATTAAACATTACAAATTAACTTCTTAAGTGCAAAGCACTTAAGACTTTAACATTTTTGTGAAATTATTATATGGATGAATGTTAAAAATTTGCAAATAAAGTAAAGTTGTAAAAGTCTTTATAATCTCTCATTTAGATGATTTAGGGTGTTTATTAGAAGCTTTGGTAACACTTTCTATGAAGCCCGTATTTTAATATGATATAAGAGTATTCTTAAGGCATTATAATGAATGCATAATGTATTATAAAAAACCTTATAATATGTTGTATCATCTCATGGGTAATCATAACAGTTTTAATGCATTATAATATTTACTTATTTGTGGTTATAGCTTTTAAGATTATGATGATTTATAATACAATGAACACAATGCATCCACTTAACTTACAATATATTATATTTCCCATAGTTATAATGTACTATTAGTCTCATATCTTGCCATTGTTAACTTACTTTACTTAAAGCAGACAAATACCACTTATAGATAACAACAACAACAATATTAATAAAAATAAAAATCATATTTTTCTTAAACAGCCATAAGATCAGATATCTGATCAGATGAATGTGTAATATATGGCACAGTTGATTTTAACTATATTTCTTGTAATATCAGTAAGATACTGTACAGATCTTAAATAAATAATGTCAAGATATGAGACTTATAATCCATTATAAATTAAGTGGATTTAACATGGTGTTTATTGCGTGTTATAAATAATCATACTCATAAAAGCTATAACTGCAAATAAGTAAGTTTTACAATGTATTATAATTGTTGTTATGATTATTAATGAGATGAAACAACATGTTTATATATATATATATATAA